GAAAGAACTTAAGGTTGAAAGGGAGGGAGGACGTCGGTGAGCTGCCCCGGGCTGAGGCCGCGCGTTTCGAGGGGCTCCGAGGTGTAAGTGCGGGGCCAAAACAGAGGGATGAACCGGCTTAGAGAGGACGCAAATGAAACAAGTTCTTAAGTGGGTTGAAAGGCAATGAGGAGGTCGGTGAGCTGCCCCGGGCTGAGGCCGCGCGTTACTAGAGGGCTCCGACGAGTAACTGCGGGGCGGAATAACGAAACGGCTCAGGAATCAATGACGGAATCTGAGTTGAATGAATGGAATAGGCGGGGAGGAGGTCGGTGAGCTGCCCCAGCTTGAGGCCGTGCGGTTCGAGGGGCTCTCAAAAGTGAGTGCGGGGAGGAACGAACCGGCTCAGAGGTTTGCTTCAGTACTTGGTCGCAAGACCCGGGTTTGGAAGCTTGAGACGTACATAGAGCGGTGAAAGCTTCCGAAGTCTCATGCGCGAGGCGCATACTCCCAACGTCCGTTCGAACAAATGGTCCGCGAAGGATGATCTGCGAATCTGTGCAAGCCCTTCCGTTGCACGTCAGAGTAGTGACAGACGGACAATTCGAGTTGAGGTCCGGCCATATTCCTTGTTCACCAGGTTAAAGCGCCCTCTTGACAGCACGGGATCAGATGCTTCAAAGATTTTCATGACTCGAGAGTTTCGCGCGCTCACACTAGCTCCCACTTCCCGTCGATGTCCGGCGCCGGCGAAAGATCGGCGAAGGGATCCGACGCGGACGCCCCCAGCAGCGCCGGCTGTGGATCGGTCCGCAAATCTTTCAGCTGCTTTATCAGGGTCTCGACGTCCTGCCGGGTCGACATGCTCGCGGGATTGGTGGAAGGGGCCAGCGCCGCCTGCAAGAACGACCGCGTTTTGAGAACATCGTCGGCGACTTGCTTTCAATTCCCTTGGCCTCTCCCCGCCTTGCCTTTGCCCTCTCCTTATTCTTCCTTGAAACGAAGTTTTGCATGAAGGGGGGGAGGAACACCAACGAACTTCCAACCTTGGCTCCTTCTGATGCTTGTGTTTGAGTTGGACTTTGTTGAAAAGGTATGTTGGGTAAATCCAAGAAGCAAATCGGAAGCGGCTATACTGCTTCCTATTATCAGCACACGCCCAAAAACAGCGCGTGTCTTCTGCCCCATCCAAACAACTCCTGAAAGTCTCCTGCAAGTAACGCTTTTTATGCTTTGGAACACAACATATGTGCAGGACAGCAGTTGGAGAGCGCAAACGAAAAAGATGCAATAAGGGGGCGAATTCGAGGTACACAGACCGCCCCTCTGAGCCGCCGACCACCTGTGACGGCCGCTTCCTTTTGCGCTGGTCTTGGACTCCATCTCCATAGGATTGAGCGTTGTTTGAACAGGGCAAATTTGCGCTCGTTCTCAACGACTGCCTACGCGTTGTGTGGAAAGACAAGAGAATAGAAGCAGGCACAGTCTAGATTGGCCATATCGGCACTCACTCGGCCCAGTTGCCGGACCGCCTCGAACAGCCGCCCCTTCACCTGGAGCTTCACCAGCTCCCGCTGCACCCGCGCGCTCCGCAGCCGGACCGCCGCGGACGGCCCTGCCAACCTGCGACACGTGGCACAGAGTGACGTCAGCGAGAGCATACAAACATTGATTGACGCTTAATCAGCATGACGTCGGCCGGTGTGAGAAGTGCATGCAGTCAGGGAAACGAGATTGTCAGGGCGAGGACTGGAACGACTTGGGGCGCCAGAGCGAAAAACAAAGATCGTCAAAACGTCACCATTTGCGCCGGGCTGACTTAAAGAGAGTGGGCGAGTTCGACGCACGGGGTACTAGCTTCGTCCAGATGAGAGAAATGTGCAACTTTGACGGGGAGCTGTGGACGATCGCAAGTGGATAATCAAAGGAACCTGTCAGCTCAAAAGCCAAGTTCGAAACCAAAGATCGCCCACTCTGGCTCCAAAACAACGTTGGGATATATTGGAAAAGTAGAGCGTGTATTCATGTTTCTTACATTGTCGACTTTTAAGGTACTTGTTTTCAACAGTTGTCCCTGTTCGCAATGAATGAGCGGACGCGAATCCAACCCTTTCAACTCAAACCAAACGCCAGCCACATCTTGGAGCGGACAGTCTTTGACAAGGCAAGGGCTTAGTTTTGCATTTTGCTGTTCGTTTCTGGTTGGTTTTCCGACAATCGGACCGTTTGATAAAACCAAGTTTTGACGCCTCGGCGCCTGGTGTGACAGAACATCGACTAAGCACGTTAGAACTGCCCACTTGACATTCGTCATCGTTGACCCCAGCAAAACGCCTTCGCTGTGCAAAGGGTCGAGGAGAGTCGCTGCTCACCTCTTGCTCTCTCGTCTTCTTTCCCGTTGTCTACTCCGGAACGCGTTCCTGAGCGACAAGCGCGTTGCGCGAGCGTCAGTCTGATGCTTTAGGAGTACCCAAAAGACCGTATACAGTAATTCCAGACCCCTTTTTATGGGCTTTTGAAGGGCGAGAAAAGCTGCTTGGATTTACGAGAGGGTATCTGGCGCTAGAAATCAAAATAATACATAAGTTTGAAACTAAATGGAATTGAATATTAAGCTAGCCTCTTTCGATAATTCCAACTTTCCAAGCTTTAAAACCAAAGGCAAAGCGCTAGCTGACATAATACAGATGTTGTTCAAGAGTAGCCGCATAGAAGGAAATGACAACGTTAACATTTCTGATCACAAGACAGCAATCTGGGGCCCGGTTGACGAAGTCGGACAGCAGTCCCAGAACGACAAGCACTTTGTAAAGTGTGAAACAAACGCCGGGCGATTCCCGCCTGCAAGAAACCAGTCAAGGGGTGAGACTGACAGTGGCTGAGAAATCGAGCAACTAGATTGAGGCGAATAGCTCACCAGCCTGTCGCCAGCAACACAAGCCCCGGTCCCAAGACAATCAACCGCTCCCCTTGCGCGATGACGAAACCCCATAGCTCAAACAGTCCCAACTGCAAGACGAGGATTCTCTGGTGATTCTTGATCTCCTTGACGCATTTGACTTGAGATTCACGCCTAGGAAACGGACAGGGTTGATTGGGTGAGTAGGGTGGGTTCGGGTGCGGAGCGGGTCATTATTCAGGTGGAATGTTCTGGTTCGAGTACTCCGGGCAACTCGATTGTTTCAGAGATGGTTCTTGGGTTGACGTCAGGGTTCAAGTATGACGAGAAGTCGAAATTTAGATCCCTTTGACTTCAAGAGGCATGGACAGAAAGACTAGAAAATTGCGAGAGCTCCGATAGTACTTTACAGCCAGACTGAGTTCCGGAAACTTGGCGTATGAGCAACCTAGACGTACATGATCGAGGGGAAACGGTTCAACAGCTGCAAAAACAGGAATGTCGGCAGGGGTTTAAGATGACTTAGAGGCGAGTCCATCTAGAGTGCAAGCGATTGACAAAGAAGCTGATTGACTCCGGGCTTCAGCAATTCAGACTTGAGAGTGCACATCAAACCAACGCTTGCTGGGTTTATCCAAGGGAACTGACCCGCGACACTGTTGCTTCAGCTGCAGCCGTGAGGGGGCTTCGAAGAGAAATGAAATCTAGTGCCTGCATCAAGGAAAGCAGAGAACCATCTGCTTGTCCACCGAATGAAGGTCGTCAATCTGCCTCTTAGATATATGCAATGGTCCACTCGTGTCTCTGCGCTTCAACGGGAGGCACGACAGAAGAGGATTCTCTCAAACAAAGTTACACATGCGGGATTGCGCGTTACTTGATTTCGATAAGGGTGAAAGTGAGCTGCATTGAAGAAACGAGTCACGAATCAAGCATTGGGCCTAATGCCAAACACTGCTATATAAGAAACATACGTGTCAAAGCTGAAGCCACATCTTTCATTTCAAGCTCTTCGTGTACATACAGATAGCGTTAACCAGCAGCTTGCAAAAACAAACTACACAAACCGCTCACTTCTTTCGACATGCTTCCTGTACAATTATGGGGGAAGCGCTTCACAAAGCAGCCCGACAGTACACTTTTGACAGCCGCCAACGACCGATATGTAGCAACGAGCAAACGCCTCTAGACACTTACGTCCCCTGCCATGTTCCCGAGGTTAGTCAGGGCCGCAGCAACTGAGTCCTGCGCATTGCTGATGGCGTTTTGCACAGGCTGGTCTCCGCTGGAGTTACTCGACGCGGTCTGCAGAGAACGAACTTGCAAATCAGTGGCTTCAGAAGGCAGAACGACGGCTCTAGCTGTTTGAGAAGTCGTTGGTCTTAACAAAGTACTCATAATCAGAGGAAGTCGGAACGAACCGAGCACGATCGAAAACATTGAGCCTGAGCTTACTAGCAAATCACCCACGTGTGCTATCAGTACTGACAGTTTGCCAGCTCATGAAGACCAGGAAAACCATGCGTTTCATCGTGCTTATCACTCGTGGCAAGGGCTTGATTAGCAGAGATTGTCGCAAGAGGCGGCGAGTTTCTTAGTACGAGAATGCTCTGCATACTCTGCAGAAACAACGGGTGTCTGAATGGATCCTTCCGCTTTTCATTGCAATTTAGCCACCTTGCATTTCAGCCGGATACATCTGCAATCCTGTAAGCCGTCTCTGCTGTGCCTGGGTCTAAGTCCTCCCCTTCGATCCTAAGAAGCTCAAAACCCGAAGTTTGTGGTAGCTCGACATCCAACCGAGTGCTACATATACCTGACACCTCGGTGTTCCTCACCTTCTCCTGCAGCTCTGTCAGCTGACTTTGGAGATTCGTCAGCCCATCCCGCCATGCCCGCGCCCATTCGTTCCCGCGACTATCTAGCTCTTTCTGCAAGCTCTGCAAGTTCCTTTGCACTTCCGGATCCACTGACGCCCCCCCGGCCAAGCCCGATAACGATCCCTCCAAGCTTTGCCAATCCAGAGAACGGCCTCTTAGCAGTGGAAGGCGCGCTGCTAGTTGCTCGGCTGAGGTCTTCACAGATTCGAGGCTGGATTGGATGGAGGATGAGAAAGAAGACTCGAGCATTTCGGTCCTCGTTTCGAGGGTCTGGATGCCGGAGCTGATGTCAGTCGAAATGGCGCTGGGGGAGGGGAGCGCCTGGCGCACCATGTCGCGCACCTCGGGGGTCAGGATGCCTTGCACCTGGGACGGGTTAAGGAATCGGGTTAGCGGTGGTTAGCAGCGTACCATGTCGCGCACCTTGGGGGTCAGGATGCCTTGCACCTGGGACGGGTTACGAAATGAGGTTAGCAGAGGTTAGCGGCGTAGGGCTTCAGGATTTTGGGACATGGGAACAGTGCAGTGGATACGCCTCCTGTGGAATAACGGGGCCACTTCCCATGATGACTTACTTCGTAGAAATCTGTAACCAGGGCTGTAATGTACGAGTAGTTGCAAGGGCTGCCGAGAGAGTGAATTAGAGGCAGGTTGAGTATGCAGCTTTATGCAGTGCACTCAAGTTCCTTTGCGAGTCAATATGTCAGTCTCCTACAAAGAGGAGAGCAATGACCTTGTAGAGCGGACGTGGTTTCAGGCCTTGTACATATGCAACGTGGAAGAAGGAATGGTTCGCAGACTGTACAAAAGAGATTTGGAGATCACAGGCCATTTAATTAAGATCTTTCTTCAAGGGGATGGGAAGAACAAAGTTGGACCTTGCAGGAGACAGTATTGAGCACATTCCTTTCCTCTAGGATTCTAGTAACCAGACTCGGAGTCATCAGAGGAATGAGCTATCAGTGCTCTTCATGAACTCCAAAACAGCTATGATTGAGTTGTTTGCTCTTTCCCGTTTAGTCGAGACGCAAACGCTTCGTACGCTCACCTGCACCTTAATCTGCTCAACAGCCTTCTCCAAATCCTGCAGGGAAGAATTGAGGCCAGCGTTAAAACATTTTATCAAGACAGATTACTCTCCCCCCTGCCGCCACCCTAATCACGGGCTCAGAGATCTGCCCTTCCAATTGATTCAAAAGCTTTACCCTTGCTAGGTGAGGGCTCTTCTGTCTTTCGGACAATGCATCATGTAAGTACTCATGATGGAAACCTGCGCACAAGTCGGAACTTTTTGACCAGCATGGCTGACTTGCTTTTGCGCACATGTGAGCCAGCAGAGGAAACAGTCGGACAGTGCAATGAAGGCTGCTGAAAGAGAAACACATTTCAAAGCAATACCTTCTAAGAGCTTCCTAAGAAGTCAAGCAAATAGATGCCTGTTAGCATGTACATCTTCACGGCTCAGTGCCTACTCTTGCATTGCCTTCTCATTCTGCTGTCGATCACTCTACTCCACCCATGAGCCACAATAGCAGCTAGTTCACATGGGTCGGAGGTGTAGCACATAGCAGCCCTCACCTTGTTGTGCTGAAGAGACTTTATTAGGTTGGCCGCCTCCTTGGTTGCGACACCAACGATGTTGGCTTCCGGAACAACCTGGTGACATTACTTCTCATGGTCAGTCAGAAGCTTTTCAACAGCAGATTGATAACTGCATCAACATAGTGATTGGCCTCGAGCTGAACAGAAGACGTTTTCTACACAGAGCATTCTACTTGAGTGCCCCATGCTTGCTCATCAAGCTTCACGAACCAACAAAGTTGATTGGCCTTGAGCTGAACAGGAGACATGTTTTCTGCAGACAGCATTCTCCTCTGAGTGCCCCATGGTTGCTCAACTCTAGCCTACAATAGTAATCAGCATCCGGGAGGGAATGTAATGCTAACCCAATGAAGCATGCCTGAAGTCAGAGATTCTACTTGCCTCGAAGTCTTGAGAACGTACATGTATCTGCAGTGCCTCAGCGGAGGGCGGAGTAAGGGGCGCGACCAGGAGTGCAGCAGCCAACAGCGTTTGCAACATACAACGCTTTCTAACATCCATGCCCATCCTCTTGTCACTCTCCAAGGTATGAGCAGAAAGCGGACTTGTTTGTCTCTTGGACCCTGACCGTGTCGCCTTCTCGATGGGGTCCCTCATAGCCCGGATGTTTTCAATGTTCAACTTGCTAGTAACGCCATCTGATCTTAATTTGTTGGCAGAGCTGTGTGAATTTGAAGAGTGTGCCCTGGAATTGGCACTTTGAGACCTGTCCAAGTATTGTGAGCGACACTGCTGGCTCCTCAATTGCTGCAGAAAGAGCACTGTTTCGAAATCTTTGAGGACTGTTTTGAAGGACTGTCTCTCGCTGATCAATTGTTGATACTTAAAGAGACAGTTTCTGTACTTCAGAGACTGGCCACCGATTGACGCAAGATCAGTTTCTACTCTCATTCCCCTTCGCCCCAACACGCGGACGCACCCTTTGGAACCCATGATGGAACAATGCTGTGGTTCAGACCTTCTCGTGTCCCGCCCACTCTAGAACTTGCCTGTCAGCAGCTACCTCGCCGCTGCGTTTCAAGGGCTTCCAACGAAAGCTTACAACGGAGATTGCACACAGAGCTGCCCAAAAAACAACTGCAGCCACTTGAAGTTGAACAATGACATCAGAGGCGTCTTCAAGCTTGCTTGAAAAAATCCTCACACATGCCCACACATGCCACTGAAGACGCCTCCGTTCTTTGTACTACTTGCGCCACTGGACATGGCATGCATGCATCCTCCGCCTTGAGCTTTCGGACATGTTTTGGGGCCTCGATGCCACAAATTTCATGCACTTGTCCGCAAAGTCCGGCATGTCCGAAAGTGCAGAAAAGTGCACTGCGTCCAACCATTGCCGTTGCGCGGTAATGGGGAGACGAGCAAACTAGATGTGTAGGAAACAGATCACGATGGCGCGCCTTCCAGGG